GGAATCACTTCATTTTGATCTCTAGAAATCACGCTCTGCACAAAACATCGACTGAACGTCAAATCTGCCAATTATCTCTAATTTACTCCTTTTTGCATTTTTCATCCAAAAGTGCCTTCAAAACATAAAACAAAGAATATCAAGGCATTTTACATATAAAACATGGACAAAACATTAGGTAAATATGGGTGAAACTATCGAATAATATGGTTACATCAAGATGTATAATAAGTAATCATAGTAGAAATTGAGATGTGGTTATTCCTACAATCTAGTTTGCTTAATTGCTTTGTCAATGGGTCGATAGACATGAGTCCCTTTGAAGTTGTACATGGTTACAAGCCTGGTAAGCCTTAGACCTTTTTCTCATGTCTTCTAATGTTAAGGTGTATGGGTCAATCAAGTCATTTGTATGTAGAGTTCAGGATTTGCATGATGAGATCACTAAGTAAATTCAAGCAAGTAATGCACAATATAAACCTCAAGTTGATTTACATAGATGATACAATAAATTTAATATTAGAGATTATGTTATGATACATGTTAGACTCAAACAATATCCTTTAAAAACTAATCAAAAAATTACATGCTTGTAGTGTTAGACCATTCAAAGTCCTATAATAGGTTGGTTCAAATGCTTATGTTATTGATTTACCACTTAATTTTGATATTGGCTCTATATTTAATGTTGCGGATCTAGTTACATATCAAAAACTACATCCTATTACAAATGATCCTTTTAAAATGTTATTTAATTCCTTTCTTGATGATCCTACTGAAACCTTTACCCTTTTCATCTTGACATCAGCATAAAATGATAATATGGATGTTATTTTAGATAAATAAGTTGTTTTTACCAAGAATAGTGGAGTTCAATAGTTTCCAGTTTGTTGGGTAGGCTGTTCTAATTCAGATTGCATTTATATTACTAGAAATACATTACAGCAGATTGATCAAGATCTTTGAGAGTATCATTAAAGCTGTTTAGTGCTATACTTAACAGGTCGAGTTTCTTCAACCCCAGGAGAGTTGGTGGGGACACCAAACCCACACTATATATTGCATGAATTTATAGACGGAGATAATATAGGATGACCCAGGCTATTATTCTTTGCTTAGGAGATCGAATCTATTTGGGTTTATTTCTTTGCCTTTGTTTTATTTATTTAAGTTATTTATGTTATATTTTTTTATTGATGAGATTTGCCCAATATTTTAAGTTATGCTACTTATATATTACTCTTTCAGTCTATAAGATAGTCTTGACGAATAAAATAAAAATCATATATTATTCCTCCTCTAAATTCTCTCTTCCTAGTGGCTATTATTTCCTTGCTTCTTCTTTTTCTTTTTCTTTTTTGGTTTCCCTAGTTTTTTATTTATTTATTACCCCGAGTCACCTGCTATGTCAAACTAGAACTATAAAATGTCTGTTTTTTTCCCTCAAATATTAGCTTTGCATAACATGTTGCCTGGTTTCGCACTTAAGCTAAATTTTCTAGTGTTTGAATAGAGCTAAAATTCTAATAGAAACTGGTTCTCTTCCTTTCCCTCTACTATTATTTCCTCTTTCTGTTTTTTGTTCATTTCTGCTGTATTTGACACAATTTCAATTAAAAACCTGCATAGACAGACCAGTCCATTTAGTACGTACACAAGCAGTAGATTTTAGTTTAGCGGCGGAAGAAGTGTGCGACACCACTGAACGAAGGGTTGGACCTTATCGGAGAGAGTTCTACAATGCCGTCAATTGAGTTAGCTCTACATTAATCAAGCAGAATAAGCACAGAATGGACACAACGCCGTTGCAGTTAAAGAATCAGAATGAGATGTGCGAAGATCAGATTTCAACTTCCAGCAGCTAATAACATGTAATTATAAAATTTGCAAGGAATAAGAGAGTTGCAGCATGCAGCAGAGAGTAATGTAGGTACCAGCCGAGCCAGACATGAAAAGGGAACCCTATTATGCTTGTACATGTTTCAACATGCAAGACCAGACCGATCGAAACTATAAGATCCCAACCCAGAGTTAGATTACCCCTCTAATATATTGGTACAGGAAAAGAAAAGCCAGGTGATCCTTCATCATTGAAGGGAGACGGAGATCATCATATAAACAAGCTTTGATCTATTAGAGAATATTCTGTGGGGTCATAGAACTCATAGTCAAACCTCAGCCCATCATTCAAGTGTATCGGTACGTCTGTGAGAAGACTTGGGTCAAAATATTCCGGAACCTCTATGTTTTGGAGCCCGAGATTCATATAGTAATCACCTGGAACAAAACATACTTGCAAGTCCTTATCCAAAGGAGCGAAAGGTGGCATTCCCAAATTTATGTTTTTTCTGGAAGATTCCACACCTGTAAGGCAATTCATATTCAAGCCTTGATTTTCCATACTAGAAGTGCTTGACACTTGATGATTTGTCGAGTTGGTCTTCGTTTGAAGAGGGATAGAGTCAACTGCACTTGCTGTTGAACTTACATGGCAGGCATTGCTGCTGTAGTCATTACGTGAAGGCTTAATTTTGACAGGGCAACCAATTTCTCTTTCTGTCAAGGAAGGTGCAGAACTGATGGCTGGAGCAGGCTGTGGATAATCAGCTCGTGTAAGCTGCTTTTGACGAGGCATTGGTAGGTGGCTAAACCCATCATTCAAATGAAGTGGATTATGTTCTTGTTTGAGTGGAATCCCTGGAATTCCACACCAAGGATACTTGGATGGGAAGGAAGAATCAAATGTTGCAAAATTTACTTCTGATCGTGGAGGTGCAATCGGATGACCAAATTCCATCTGTGAAATCCTGGGTTTACGAGGATTGGGAGCATCAACTGTTAAGCCTCTTTTGGGTTCTGCCACAGGCGTTGTAACAAGTATCTTTCTATCACCATCGTGGCTTCTGGGATCCACATTTTGAAGAACCAAGCTACTGCCAGAAAATCCATAGCACCCATTTGAAACATCAGTTGGCTGCAAGTTGATTGAATTCTGAGAGCCAAAACTTCCAGCAGAATCACTCAAAGGTGAGTCCGACTGCTTTACCATACCATCAGGGTTGTTAAAATCGTTTCCTTTCTGCAATCTACTCAAATAGAGACGGTATTTCTGCATGGAAAAAAGCCTTTCCAATGAGGAATACGGTACTGCTCAAAAATCAAGAAAGCTCATGAAAACATAATGAGTTTAAAAATGACAGAAAGATGTTAATATTCCTCCCATTGATTTTCTTAACTTATACCTGCAAATGGCTAGCGACATTTTCCCTTGTCAAACGTGGCACATTCATCAAGTCAAGTATTTTCTTTGGACCAACTTCTGCCAAACAGACATTACTTGTCATTGCTCTGTAGAAGCATGACAAAGATGTGGCTATATCATTGAAAACCACATAAAGACAATTCAATGCTATCAAGTTCTAATAAATTATATGAACATTCATAATTCCTGAAATGATCCAATCACCAAATTTCTGAAATGAAACTTCGAATAAATACTTACTATCAAATCCTATCTGATTTACTGCTTTGACAAATTTCTGATGAAGTTCTACAGACCAAACTACTCTAGCTTTCTTTGTAGAAGTATTATCACCAATGTCTTTTTCATCATGCTTGCTTTCGATATCTTTTCTTTTCTTTATCAAAGTAAGGTCTTCTCCACAGAGAAAATGCCCATCCTCATATTGATCTGATCCATTTCTAGTCATTTGAAAACTTTCGTTCCCTTCGAGAATTTCAATATCTCTTACCTCGTGTATTTTCTTTCTGAATACATGCTGCCATATATTCCGGAGTTCTTTCATTCGTATAGGCTTAAGAAGATAATCACATGCTCCATGTTGAACGCCTTTCATCACCCTGCTTGTCTCTCCATCAACAGACATCACTGTAAGGTGAAAAGCACATCTGGTCAGAAGCTGAAGCAACATTCCATTATATATACAGTGCATGTAACGCATGCATGCATGTATACATAAAATTTAAAAGACTGGCTTTGAAATGAAATTCCTTAGAGTAAAAGAAAGGAACCGACTAATTACTGGAAGATCCATCTCCAGTCCAACAAGCTCTAGAAGTTTAAAACCATCCATATCAGGCATGTAGACGTCACTGATTACAATGTCATATCCACCTTTCCTCTCACGAAGCAGGTTCAAAGCATCTCTTGCCAAACCGCAAGTGGTCACTAAACAAAGCATTCCAAATGAAAATGTGAAACACTCCACATATGGTCAAAAGCTATGAATCTTGCTATAGAATCAAATCCAGCTTAAGAGAATGATTTCACTGAACAAGATATTACTGCGAGGATATGAAATGCTACAAAAGTAAGAAGAACATCATGATTTTAAAGGCATAAAAACCATAAACCAGGTTGACTTTATGAGCTTAAGAACTTATAGGGAATCGCATTAATAAAGCATATCCTTCTAGATAGAATGAAAATGCCAAGGCAAATTAATGCTATCATGTAAAATGATTAGCTCAGCTTAGCATGTGTTCGAAACTGCAATGGAGGTGCTTTTCCACCCACTACACTTCCATTAAGTTTTTGTTAAGGGAAAAAAACAAAAGAAAAAGCAGCCACGGAAGGAGTTTACATGGCCAGAAATCAAAATTCGGAAATCGATGCTTATTAGTTCTGTGGTGAAACAAATTTCTTTTGTTAAATATCCTTTAAAATCTTGTAATTTCATACTTTTTATAACTATTAATATTTGTGTTAATCGAATCATGATTTTGTCTTTTATCATTATTTTGGTCTTCAACACCAGAATCACTTTAAACAGCAAATATAATTGGCAACAACATTTGCTACAATGATAGCTATGACCAGAACCATCAACACATAAAAGCCAACAACGTTGCCAGACAGACATACTATTCAATCTCATCACACTTGAGATTACTACAGCTGAGGTAATTAAATACCCTCAGAAGATAAAAATTAAACAAGTTGAGATGAGCTAAATCCTTGCCAAGTTGGTGTCGTTTCAATACGTTTGGTGATACATTAACATTCCATCAAGAATCCAACACATTAATTCCTACCATTAACTGCTCCTTATAGTGCTACATATTGAAAAATTTCGATGAAATCCGTTGTAGCAGATCAAAATGATTGTAGTTAACTAATCATGCCGTCTCATAAAGTAAACAAGTCTGCACTAACCATCAATCATACTTGTAAGTTATCATCATCTAATGCCTAGAATAATAAAACTCCGTGGAGTTCAGACTCAACTTTTTGGAAGATATTATCATTGTCTCTGTGTATCATACTTTCATTAGTTTAGTTGGCAAGTGGAGCAAACATCAATAAACCTTCTAATTACTCTAACCAGCTGCAAAAAAGAAAAAGGACAAATCTGTAAAGAGTAGCACAACATCATTGATGAACTTGCATATTTCTGTTCAAAAAAGTAATTCCAGAGTTGAAATCTTGAAATCAAGAGAAGCAACAGATCACAGAAGAAGTGCGAGGATAAAAGCACTTTTTTTTCCCTAAGAGAAGCAACAGATCACAGAAGAAGTGTGAGTATAAAAGCACTTTTTTTTTCCTTTCTTTTTTTTCTTTTTTTCCAATAAGGAGAATAAAAGCACGTCCTAATCGACTCAAAGACAACTTTTAGCCTTTTATAGACTTTTAAGTCCAAATCCCACAAGTGAGCCAACCCCTTACAATTACTCCACATTTTCAATAACATATGAGCCAGTCTACAGAGATGAAATTCACACATTCTAAATTTGCAACTTGAAATGCTTTCACTTAACAAATTGCTTCTGATTAGATTAGTTGAGGTGACAGGAAGAATTCCTGGAAACAATTTACCCCAGAAATGCTCAAAAACAATAGAATAACCTTCCTTGCACAATTTAGCATGATCCCTTTAGTGGCATGTCACTTGCTCAACTAAAAAAACCAAAAAAAAATTTCGAATTCTCCATGGACTAGCTTATAACAAAGCAATTAAGATATCCCTTGAAAGCAAACACCAAATAACAGAAAATTAAGAAACATGGAGTAGAAGTCACCTTCTAACAGAAATGAAACCATGGATAGCAAAAATAAAACCCAGTTCACAAACTAACTGCAGTTTTTAAGTGAAAAAGAAACCGCAAGAAGCAACTAAGAAGAGCAGTACTAGCAAGAAACCGAGGTGGAAAATAGTTAATAACCTTCATACGAGCATTTCTTGAGCATCTTTTCAAGGATTTTTAACCAGGTGGGATCATCATCGACAACGAGAACACGGAGACCAGCAGGAAACGAATCATTCCGGGGAGAGGAGAAACCATTCTCCATCATGGCAGAGACGGAAAAGGTGACGGAGAGACAGAGTCAGTACTATGAATGAGCTTGAGAATTAACAGAGTAGAGTAGTAGCAGTCCTTAAGGAGAGACTTGTCTGGGTTTTTAAAGTGAAAACCGGGTTTGTTTGTTTGTTTGGGTTTTAAGGAGAGACAGAGAGAGACAGAGAGACATGCACTGTTGAGAAAGTTAACGAAAAAGAAAGCACCCAACAGAATATTGTCTTTGGCGCCGGTTTAGGTTCCAGCTTAACGGTTCCTGTTGAGTTATTTGCCTCTCCCTCTCTCTCTCTCTCTAAGCACTTTACAGGTTCTACACGAGAGTAACTATGAGGCATAGTTATAAAAATAATTCATAAATTTCATATTTTCGTGGAGTATTGTTCTTGGGTAATTTCTATATATAAATCCTACATTAAAAGTTATAAAAAAATATTAAAAAAATATATAAGATTAATTTTATACCTAGTTATTATAAAACTTGATTATGTTAAATCGTACAATGATATGTTGACTCAAAATCTAGGTTAAAACACTTTTCTCTTTCGGCTTGACTTTGTTACTACAATATTTAATCAAGATGGAGGAAATTATGTTCATTTTGCGAGAAATCTAACATAGAATTTACTTTCTAGTAAGGATAGAACCTGAGGTGGAATATTTAAAGAATGTTTGAATGAAAAAATAGGCATCTCAGAGGAATTTTAAAAGTTAATCCAATTAGATTAATGATAATCTTCATTCCAATGATATTATTTATTTATTTTTTGCATAGATTCTGAACCAATAAATTATATTCTTAATGAAATAATGAAAGGGAAGGCTAATCTTGAGTTAATGACAACAGGGTCATTTAGCATTGTGCATGTTTCTAAAAAAGAATTATTTATTTTTTAAAATTAATTTATATATATATATATATTTAAATTGTTTTGTATTTATAATGTTAAAAATAATTTTTAAAAATTAAAAAAATATTATTTTAATAAAATATATTTTAAAAAACAATTACAAATATCCTAATAGCTGGTATCTCTTACTACTTGGCTGATCTATAGTGTTAAAAAGTGGATACAAACATTGTCTCACCTCCATTATATGCAAGTGGGAATACCTAATCTCCCACTTAGCATATAATAGAGGCTTAATTGGTAGTATAAATCATGGCATGATTTATGCCCCATATCCCCTCAGCTTTGTCTATAATTAGACACACTGAAGAGTTAAGATATAGAGAATACCGAGAGAGAGAGCAGTAGAGAGAGCTTGAGTGAGTAGAGTTGAGTTGAGAAAAGTTTTCTCCTCCTCTTGTTTGTATTGTTTTTTTAAGTAATTAATACAAACCAGTAGTTCCATAGAGTAGGCAAGTTGCTGAACCACGTAAATTTATATATGTTTGATTGCTTGAATGACTCAACAACTGGTATCAGAGCTTGTTCTTGAAAAAAAAGGTGTTTGATCCAAACTCAAAAATCAAAGTTCTCAAAACGTGTTTTTGAACATATCATTGTGTAAAGGAAGACGAGACGAATTCATTGGTGAAAACCCGGTAAAGAACCAACGTCCTGCATGTTCACATATGCCGACATTAGGACTGCTCACACGCACCGACACGCCCCACGCGTCTTCTTTGCCTGAATACCTGTAACTAAACCAGGTTGATTGACATGTCAGCTTATAGTTAACAGCCACAATAGCAATTCTACATAGTCAGCAGCCACGTCACCTGACACGTCACAAGTACACGTCATCACAAACATGTAAGAGCAGTAATCCACTAGGATATGCCACGTTGTCATATGTGGGCCCATATTGCTTAAGTGCCTGACACATCAGCATAGCCACGTCATCGTATTGGGTTTTGATCCAATGTACCACATATATTATTCCCTATGACACGTGGCTTTATTTGTAGCGTCCAGTAATCCAAAAGTTTGATTGATAAGATTTGAGTCATCCATAGTTCGATTTGGGTGATTTCAATGTCGTTTCTAACTTTTTTGGCCATTCCAAACACATCCACAAGGTCAGATTTAGGAGATTCAAATATGAGAAGTATTAAAAATGGTAGATGAAATAAAGGCTGCTGGAATTGAAAATTTTGATAGGACAGATTTTAGATATTGCAAAATACAAATTGAAGACTATCTATATGGGAAGAAACTTCATCTTCCTTTGTTGGGGAGCAAAAGAATATGCAAGAAGAAGATTGGTAAATTCTTGATAGATAGGTTTTGGGCATTATTCGGCTATCCTTCTCAAGAAGAGTTGCTTACAATGTTACAAAAGAAAAATCCACTGCAAAATTGATAGAAGCCTTGTTTGGAATATATAAGAAGCCTCGAAAAATAATAAAGTACACTTGATGAAGAAGTTGTTCAACTTGAAGATAACAAAAAGCACCTCTGTTACACAATATCTCAACAACTTCAATACTATTACAAATCAATTGTCATATGTTGAGATTGAGTTTGATGATGAGGTCCGTGCACTTATTTTGCTAGCTTCACTTCCAAGCAGTTGGAAAGGTATGAGAACACCTATGAGCAAGCTAGAAAATCCAAACTGAAATATGATGACATTCGAGACTTGATTTTAATTGAAGAAGTGTGAAGGAAAGACTCAGGTGAAAGTTCAAGTTCAGGTTTAGCTCTCAACATCAACATTCAAGGGAGGAGACAGGATAGAGGCCTATCTAGAGGCAAATCAAAATCAAGATACAAAAAACAAAATCAAGTTTGGACCTAGAAAGCAGGTTGAATGTTGGAATTGTGGCAAACCTAGTCATTTCATGAAGAGTTGCACAAAACCAAAAAAAACTTGAAGATGACTCTACAAACACTACTACAGATAAGGTACAAGACACTTTGATTCTTGCTGTACAAAGTCAAATTGATGATTAGATCCTTAATTTTGGTGCTTCATTCCACTATACATCATACCATAACATGATGCAAAACTATATTACTGGAGATCATGGTGTAATCTATCTAGCCGATGGACAACCAATGGATATTGTGGGTATAGGAGATATGCAAATCAAGACAATGAATGAATATATATGGAATTTACAAAATGTAAGGCACGTTCTTAGATTAAAGAAAAAATTGATCTCCGTCGGATAACTTGACTATAATAGTCATTCAATCTTTTTTTCTAGAGGTATGTAGAAGGTATCGAATGGAGCAATGGTTTTGGCTCGTGGAAAGAAAATCAGTACCCTATATATAACCACAAGATTTGCAGACATTATTGCCTCTATTGAAGCAGGAAATCAAGTACAACTATGACACTGTTGACTCGGCCATATGAGTTAAAAAGAGATGAAGACACATTCAATCTTTTTTTTTTAGAGGTATGTAGAAGGTATCGAATAGAGCAATGGTTTTGGCTCGTGGAAAGAAAATCGGGACCCTATATATAACCACAAGATTTGCAGACATTATTGCCTCTATTAAAGCAGGAAATCAAATACAACTATGACACTATTGACACGGCCATATGAGTTAAAAAGGGATGAAGATACTTCAGTTAAAGGGAAAGCTGTCAGAGTTAAAAAAATATTGATTAGACATTTGTGAAAGTTGTATTTTTAAAAAATAGAAGAAGCTCAGTTTCTTAAAGGTTGGCAAAACCTTAAGACCAAGAAAGCTAGAACTACTCTACACAGATTTATAGGGACCAACTCCAATAGCATTTCTTGGAGGTTCTCGGTATTATGTGACTTTCATTGATGATTTTAGCAGGAAGGTATGAGTCTATTTTCTAAGAAATAAATTTGATGTGTTTAAAACATTCAAGAAATAAAAGGCTATAATTGAGACTAAATCAAGTCTGAAGTTGAAATGTTTAAGATCTGATAATAAAGAATAATACATTGATGGAGGTTTCAAAGAGTATTGCGTTGTCAAAGGTATCATAATGGAAAAGACCATTCCAGGCACACCATAACAGAATGACATTTCTGAATGGATGAATAGGACCATCAATGAACGAGCTAGAAGTATGAGATTGTATTCTAGGTTACCTCAAACATTTTGGGCTGATGCAATTCATACTATAGTTTACTTAATCAACCGTGGACCATCAGTTCTTTTGGAGTTTAGATTGCTCGAGAAAGTATAGAGAGGAAAAGAAGTACAACTCTCTCATTTAAAGGTCTTTAGATGTGTTTTCAATGTGCATATAGATTCCGATGCTTGCAACAAGCTATATGTTAAATCCAAGAAATGTTTATTCATTAGCTATGGAGATGAAGAATTTGGATTTCAGTTCTGGGATGATCATAACAAAAAATTATCAGAAGCAGTAACGTGATCTTTAATGAGAAAGTTTTGTATAAAAACAGATCAAATATAGAAATAGATATGGCTGATTTAGATACAAGTCCACAAAAATCTGAATTCATAAGATTAAAAGGGCTTTCTGATATTACCGAGCAGAACAAAACTTAAAAGTCTTTACAAGAAGATTCAAGCATATTTGTACCCACTACTACACAAGAAGATGTGGAGCCAAGTGAACCAATTTTTTATATTCGCAGGTCTTCAAGGACCGTAAAGCCCCCACAATGGTTCACATTTCTACTAAATTATATTTTACTAATAGATGGTGGTGAACTACTAACTTATGAAGAATCCTTATAAGATGGAAACTCAAGCAAGTGAGAGTTAGCCATAAAGAAAAGATGAATTTGTTGTTGAAGAATAAGACTTGGGAGCTAACCACACCACCTGAATGAGAATAAGACTTGGGAGCTAACCACACCATCTGAACGAAAGAAGGCTTTGCAAAACAAATGAGTTTATAGAGTAAAGATTGAGCATGATAGAAGCAAATGGTTCAAGGTAAAACTTGTTGTAAAAGGGTTTCAACAAAAGAAAAAGATTGACTACTCTGAGATATTTTCTCTAGTTATGAAGCTTACAACAATCAGAGTTGTTCTGAGCATAGTAGCTGTAGAAAATTTACATCTTGAATAATTAGATGTAAAAACAGCATTCCTTCATGGTGAATTAGAGAAAGACATTGCATGCAACAACCAAAGGGCTTTGCAATACAAGGAAAGAAAAACCAAGTCTGCAAGCCAAAAAAACGCCTATACGGTTTAAAGCAAGCTCCAAAATAGTGGTAAAAAAAGTTTGACAACTTCATGTGTAGTTCGAATACACAAGATGTTAGGCTGATCATTGTTGTTATATTAAATATTTTGACAACTCCTACATCATTCTACTATTATATATGGATGATATGTTGATTTCAAGATCCAACATTGAAGAGATTGACAAGTTGAAACAACAGTTGTCAAAATAGTTTGAAATAAAGGATCTGGGAGCTGCTAAACAAATATTTAGCATGAGAATCATCAGAGATAAAGATAAAAGTATACTAAAGTTTTCACAAATAGAGTATGTCAAGAAAGTTCTCAGTAGGTTTAGTATGAATAATGCTAAACCAATAAGTACACCTTTGGGGAATCATTTTAAGCTCAACAAAGACTATTCACCAAAAATTAAGCTAGAATGTGGATATATGGATAAGATTCGATACGCCTCAGCTATCAGTTCTTTGATGTATGTTATGGTCTGTGCCAGACCAGACATTACCCATGTAGTGGGAGTTATAAGCCGATATATGAGTAATCCTAGAAAGCAGCATTAGGAGGCGGTAAAATGGGTCATGAGGTACTTAAAAAGGTTCCTCGGAGACTTGTCTTACCTTCACAGCTGGAGGTTTGAAACTTGAAGGTTTTGTAAACGCTGATCTAGCAGGAAATATTGATAGCAGAAGGAGTACTATAGGATATATATACACTCTAGGAGGCACTGTTGTTTCTTGGAGTTCTACCTTACAAAAGATAATTACTCTTTCAACAATAGAAACTGAATATGCAGTCTCAGAATTTACAAAAAAAAATAGTATGACTACAGAGTTTCTTGAAATAATTGGGCAAGATGAATGAAATGGTACTTTTTATAGCGATAGTCAGAGTGTAATCTTCTTTGGCAAGAATCCAGCATTTCACTCTAGGACTAAGCATATTCAAATCAAATATCACTTCATCCGATAATTGCTAGACGATGAACAACTAATGCTAGAAAAGGTCTATGGAAGCAAGAATCCTGCTCACATGTTAACCAAAGAAGTTACATTTGATAAACTGAAGTTGTGTAATACTTTAGTTAGTCTTTAAGGATAAAAGATAATTTCATTATTTGTCTCCAAGTGGAAGATTGTTAGAAAATGGAGACAAACATTGTCTCACCTCCATTATATGCAAGTGAGAATACTTAATCTCCCATTTGGCATATAATGGAGGTTTAATTGGTAGCATAAATCATGACAAGATTTATACCCCATGTCCCCTGAGCTTTGTCTATAATTAGACACACTGAAGAGCTGAGATATAAAGAAAACCGAAAGAGAGAGCAGTAGAAAAAGCTTGAGTGAATAGAGTTGAGTTGAAAAGAGTTTTCTCCTCCTCATTGTTTGTATTGTTTCTTTGAGTGATTAACACAAACTAGTAGCTTCGTGGAGTAGGTAAGTTGTCAAACCATGAATACAAACCAGTAGCTCTGTGGAGTAGGTAAGTTGTCAAACCATGCAAATTTATGTGTGTTTGATTGCTTGAATGACCTAACATGTAGGTGAGGCTCGTCTTCATATAAGTGGGGCCATTATCCGAGCTTTTCTTGTATAACTTGAAGTTACCCTAACTTAGGTTAAAATTAATTAATTAATCTATATATGTAAATTTAATTAAATCCAATTTATCTATATAATCATCCTTCAATTTATACTTTTATTAATATTTTTATCAAAATTTATTGAAATGCTTTCGAATAAAAAACTCAACCCTATCTGGTTTATGAAAAATTAATAAAAAAAACTATATTAGATTTGAGTTTCTAAAAGTTTTGCATCTGTTTATATAAAAATATATGGTAAAAAAATAAATAGGAAAATGATCTAAAATATAAAACAAATTGAGAACCATTAAGCTTATAAGAATATAGTAAAGACTAGACCTAAAAGATAAATACAAACTAAGTTAATCCCTCTCTCTCTCTCTCTCTCTCCTCGGAAGGGAAAGAACTCTATATTAAATTATCAATGGTGGGAGAATGGAAACCTATGGATTCTCAATAATTCTTATAAATTAAAACATCTTTATGTACATACATGCATGGTTGTGTAAGGTTCTGTGTAATATTTTAGTCCAAAGGGTACACAATCATACGACCCAGCAAGAACCAGAAGTGTCGGAGCTCAACGAGCTGCATGACTCAACAAGCTTTAAACATGCAAATTCCAGTGACGAAGTGGCACCAACTCCTCCTCTCAATATTGTCAAGCTGGAAATCTCTCATCTTTCGAGCTAGCTCTGGCTGCTGTCACGCATGTATTGGGTCGTTTTTTCCACGCTTTGATGATGTGTTGAGCTTGAAAACCTAGCTAGAAGTGGGAATCCAACGTAATCTCTACCTAGCTCTAGCTATGAGATCAAAGTTATTTCTGCGCACCAGTTTTGCTCATGTCTTTTCTTCCATCTCCTGCGTTGTTTGTGATGGTGGGACGCAAAGCACTCAGCGCAACGGGATTTATAAGCCTTTCACAGAGTAATTGAGCTTCTTTCTGCCGATGGTTTTCGCCATGTAAACAAATACCAACATGACATGCAGGCTCGTGACCTAAGCACTCTCACGTAAAAGGAAAACGTTTCAAGAGCTCACTAACCGTTGAATCGCATGATTAATTTCTTATTATAGCTGGATATATAGAATGATGCTCAATCGTTCATGGTGTGATTGTGATGTGAAAGGAATTAATGGCAATCGTTATCTTAATCTAGAGCTAGATGTCGTTGATTGAGGCCACGATAGCAACTTACGAAAAGCAAGAGATTTTGAGGCCACAATTAGTAGTGCCATTTGCTCCAAACTTGGTGCTGATAAAAAGAGGGCATCTTATCATTAATTAACCACCGTTTTAGGACCAATAATCAATCACTTAAGCCCTCTAATTAGCAATTAGAAGTTGATCCCCTACCACCTGCGCTTTTCTTCAAGCTGAAACACATACCAAAGTACTGATTTGTAAGTACATCTCGAACCCCATTAGTGGATCTAACGTCTTTTCTTTTAACCATGGACCAATCTTAGAGTAATTTGCTGGTTATTCTCTTAGGTTAATGATTTTATATGGGTGATTAAGAGCTTTCGATAATCAATGCTCAATTAAAGATTATTTACCTTTTGAGAGTGGGCCAGGAAAGGATTTTAAAAGGAAGAGGAAAACTCCAAAAGGAAATGCCCACTACCAATTACTTTATTTGAAAGAGAACTATATATTAAAAAAGAGGGTAAGCAACAAATAGGGAATTTCTCTTAAGTGGGGTGTTGCTTTTTATTTGTTTAATTAAAAGTTTAGAATATGACTCTCCCCTTAATTCCCTCCTATGATGCTTAAATCTTATATCTTTTTATTCTTTGCACTTTATGCATTCATTATTTTTCTCACTATCTAATCCTGTAATTACCTGCTGGCAGATGCTAAATAAATAATGGAATGAACAATGTGTTCGAGAATATGCCCTAATCTAGCTTTTGACGCGGCTAATGAAGTGCCTGAGCATGGTTTTTATTCTAGTAGTTTGGTGGCTCCTGCTTTTGATTATGTTTTACTTAAAAAAGATATTAAATTGTGTGTTTTAGTATTTTTTATGGTTTTGATGTACTAAGATTAAAAAATTAAAAAAATATTATTTGTGTTTGAGCACGCTTGACATTATCCCAAGGCATGGTCTTGTTGTGAAAGAATAATGAAATCGAGCTTCTCTTTTGCAAGTGATTTTCGGCGCCCGGGATTATCACCCCTAATCCTATTTTTCGCCACCGGTTTTGGGTCCAAGACACTGGACCTGGAGGGTGGTGCATGACATGGAGCTGATTTCAGATTCACCGGACAGATTGGATGACGATAACTAGGCCGAACGGGCCATCTCCCTCTTGGATACGATACAGCCCCATCACTGCAGGAAGGTTAAGCGGTAAATCTCAGAAAAATAATAATGACTTCCATATAAGCAGTAATTGTTTTCTTCTAGTTAAGGAGATCAAGTTCAAGCGCACATGCCCTTGATAATTTTAGTTCATAATTCGGATATACTTATCAACTGGATTCGAGATCATTAGGAGAATCTCAACTAAGTTCTCAATATACATTATCTTTAGGGAAGACAAACGAGATTATGTGCTTATGCAAAAGTGGAAGGAAAAGATACCAAAGGAGAAAAACCTGAAGCCCGACTGGTGATTGCAGGAAAAAGCTAAGGAAGTTGATGCTGCTCGCAGCAGCAACTTTGAGAATGCTGTGTTTTTCTCTGACCCCCTCCTTGCAAAACCATGAAGAATTGGAAATAGATATCGTTAATTACTACTTTCCCTACACAATTTCTCACCTGCCATCCTTCAAACAGCAGTTTCAGAATAGTCACCCCCTTGAAACGTCTGCTATCTGAGTGATGTTAAGATGAGAATATAATATTTTGATGGGTTTAAATTAAGTTGCCTCCTATTTAAAACCAGCCATGGAAAGTTTCAGCTGTCACAAACAGGTTGAACCACAGAAAAGACATGAACAGGCAGGCCCGTTGATTATTTAAGCAATCTCATGATAGCAAGGAACATGCCATATATCATATATTTGATCCATGATATTTGCCGTACTAACACAGCGTGGTAAACATAGGCCAGGTACTCACACAAGCAACAAGTTTCTATGCTTCTTCATTTCCAACACTCAGGTTCCAAAAAGCTGAGCTGAATGCCATGCATAATATCTTTTCTATTCGCATCTACTAATTACATGTATTGCCCATCCCATATACATGCAGGGCTTAACCTTTCATGTTGTGGCGGCCGCTGATGATGTTTCTTGAGTTCTCCAATCTCCTGTTTGCCACCTGATTCATATCCAGCAATTTAGTTGATCACATACAGCTACCGCTGAAACGTCATTTTTAACCAGCCACATGGTGGATGAAATCGAACTACTCCATCGTATACTAGAATGTACAATAATGGCTGGCAGTCTGTATGATTCACTGCATTCTTTTTCTTCAAATCAGATCATGTAATCAAACAGAATCGCTTGAGTCTCAGGCACTAGAAAAGGCAGGTTGTCCATGTAAAGGTAGAAACGCCTTAGATTCTCCTCAGCGAGAGCAACTGTATCGATAACATCATCATTACTAATGAGAACCCATAAATCTGTACAGCTCATTCTCTTTAGGCTGCCACGGCAAAAAGGACAGGACTGAGATCTCACATTCCTGTCCAAAATTTGATAACATTACTTCGCAGATACAAGAATCAGAAAGTGCAGCTCCTAATCGTTATGCTAAGCAACCTACAAGAAGTAAATGAATAATTGGAAACTGACTTACCAGTCATTGAAGCAGCTGATGCACAAGGAGTGCCCACAGTTGGGCAATACCATCTTTGCACTATTTTCCATGCATATTCCACACTCTTCGTCTCTATCAACATCGCTTTCAGATAGCTTCCTCTGGTCTTCCATTCTCTTTCTGCTCAAAACATCAGTGTTTCTGCTTCTCTTATGGTTATCTTCCACTTCAATAAACTCACCTTCAAGCTGTCTCAGAGAAGGGTATATGATAGCTGAAAGGATAGGTGAATTGAAAGCGCTCAGAGGTCAAACAAGAAAGAAGATGGACAATAAGCCAATAGCAAAAAGTCCTTGAAATGTACATACCATAAAATTCCCTTAGACTGGCCTTTTTTTCTTTGGAGGACAACGATGGCATTCCATCAACATATACCTAGATAAAAATGAACTTAATTCGAGTGTTTTAAAGCTACTAAAAAAGGAGGAGAAAATGAAAGAGAAAAAAAAACCCTCAGAACTGCATCTCAACAAACAACCCTCCAATTAAGCCCTCTAAGCTGTTCCAAAAATAATACTTAGAAGGGGTGATTAAGTATAAGCTGAAGCAAACACCAACCTACCTTATATACAAGTATGTGGAGAAGGCCTAAATAACTAGGAAGGGCATCTGTACAGCTATAGTCCATCCATTCCACCAAAAACAAGATGAAGGGGGCAAAGGAGCTATATGACAACCTCATCTGCACACAATTCCCACCACAATCTCCTGGGAGAGCAGCCGCCCTGCAAAACCCCACCACAAAAACCCATATCAAACATCAATTTAAGGAACCCTTAACAGTTCACAACAAGCATAGAAAAGGAATATTACATGAAGAATAAATGCAAACCAGAAAAATGATCAAAGTCAAACTTTGTGTCTAAACGAATCCCGAAAAGAAAATAAGAAACACAATGTATTAGAAAATAAGAAACGTTGTTAATGGATATGCCCCATTTCCAATTACAGCACTTGTAACCAAATTAGAAAAGCACAGGCGAAAGACACATATCATCATCATAAACCCAATTTCATATTCAAATTCACCAACTCTATCTTTGTTTATGAAAAATTAATTACCTTTGTTGCACAGATTTCTAGCCCACATACCTCAACTGAACAGAAGAAGGCAATCACACAAGTCCAGGAAAGTAAAGCAGGGTTCTTTACCAATTACTGATAACATATCAAAATGAGCATAGGAGTAAGGAAACGAATAAAATTGTAAGGCTTACATCGCATTGGCATGTTGTATATCAGCTTCAAGAGCTTTGAGAGATTCTCTAAAGGATGATTTACTGGGCTGTTTTTGCCACATTTGGTTCTCTTCTTTTGACTCCTGAGAAGGGGGAGAGAGAAAGGGTGGAAGGATGAGAAAAAGGTGTCTTTTGAGGAAGTTGGTATGGCTTCGTTCCGTTGAGGGAATGTTGGAACTTGGAAGGGAAAGAAGGATAAAAGAAGATGGAGACTCTTAGAGAGAGAGAGAGAGACATTGCTTAGTGATCAAACCTCTTTCACAGTTGAAGAAAAGAAAGAGATACCTTGTCTGTCTGTCCAATGTATCTTTCCTTTCCTTAGCGTTCATTATATTTCTGTAATCAATATAAATCAAAACTTGGGCTAAGGTATCTCATCTTGTTCTTGATGTTGACTTTCCTTCCTCCATATCCTCTTCAATTAAACACCTGTGTACTTGGAAAAATTCTACAAAAATAATCTTCTCAATTTCTCAATCGTGCCATGTAGGGAAAATAGTTTGGGAGGGAAGGTTCCCTCAAAGGGTGAAAGAGAAGAATTATATTTTAATAGCGTGGAGGTAAAGAACACATCAAATAATGAAACAATTAATAAAATCTGGTCGAAAAAAACTTGATTAGTTGTTTTTAAAAAGTTGATATACTCAAATGAAAAAAAAAAAAAAAGAGAGGAGAAAAATACTAAATATGAGTGTACTTATAGTACATTTATCCCAATGTTAAATTACCAATCCGAAATCAGAATTTTTTTCACAACTTTTCTTTCCTCTGGGGTGATCTTGGCTCTATAATTTACATAAAGTTTATTTTTATGTTTTAAAAATATATTTTTTAAAATTAATATTTTTTTAGTTTGTTAAATTATTTTAATATGTTAATATCAAAAATAAATTTTAAAAAAATAAAAATATATTATTTTGATATATTTTTTAATAAAAAAATCTTTAAAAAACAATTATTACCCTACTCTTAAACATTTTATAAAATCTAAGCCCAAATTATGATGCTAACCTTTTGACATATGTGCAAACTTGAAGCTTAAAATAAGTGGACTTACAATATAGTTTTTGTGTTGTAATGATAATTGTTTTAAAATAAAATTAATTAAAAATATATTAAAATGTTATTTTTTATATTAATATATTAAAATTATAAAAAAATAGATAAAAATTAATTTTATATATTTTAAGCCTGGGTATAATTATTTTTAAAAAAAAAATTTATTTAAAACTATATCAAAATAATATTTTTTTATTTTTTTTAAAAAAAAAATTTTATATCAATTGGATCAATTTTTTTTGGTTAATATTTTATAGATTCAACCTTAAAATGTATTTCGAAGCTGCCATTTTCCCCTTTTCTTTTATTCTGTCGTTATTGCCACTTAACAAATTTACAAAAAAAAAAAAAAACTTTTTCATATAACTTTTTAATTCTTCGATATTGAATATTCCAACCAAATTATAAAAAACATAAAGTGAGAATAATATTTTTCATGTTCAGTTTTCATACTAACCTCAACTGTATTCTTGGGAACTCAAGAATCCTCTCGTTGGAGAAAGATGACGCATCACGCGTGGCGTAAAAATAAAGCAATAGGAGGAACATCCTCTGTAAAATCACACTCCTCCCTGTAAGTTTTAGCAAAAGACGCCAAACAATTTGCAAATTGATTGCTATTTCTTAAGGTTAACCCTAAAGTTGTGTACCTGAGAAGATTGGGTTAAAGAAGCTAATATCAGCACAGGAATTGCCCAACTCTTGCCTGCATTATATAGCTTGGCTGAGCAGTGGATGATCAGATTCAGCTCTCGGGCAAGTGAAGCCCGATGAGACAGCTAGTTGCAGACCGAAGACCGTTCTCATTGCTTCTCCAACAACCAGATTGTTGAACCTCCCCATGGATGTATTTATGAGAACTTGGCCCTCAGAGTCACGGAAGCTAAGTTTGATGGGCGGCGGTGTCGGTGGTGATATTACCCGAGAATCCTGGTGAAGCTGTTCATCTGAAATCTTAAATAAAACTCGGATTTATTTCATTAAAATAACATTATATATCTTATTTTTTAAATAATTTTTTATATTAAAATATATATTAATGATATTATTTTAATTTTTAAAAATTATTTTTAATATTAACTCATTATAATGATTTGAAAAAATTAAAAATATACTAATTTAAAATTAATAAAAAAAAATTAATTTTTTTAAAATACTTTTAAAAAAAAACGAACAAAGCCATTTGAAAAGTTATCTGGATTGTAACTGGAAAGTCATTTGATAAGTAATTTTTATTTTTTAAAATAATATTATTTTATTAAAAAATAAAAAAATAAATTCAACCCAACTCATAACCAACACTTTGAACTAGATTTTTAAGCTAATTAAACACAAACAAAAATAACAAATAAGCATGTTCTAGCCTTTAATTCTTTTTAAATGAATTAAATCCAAGTTTTATTTAACATTTTTGTATGTAGAAATCTAAATATATAAATAGAGTGCTAGCTTGATTGAACGTAGATATAATATCCTACAAGATTAAATATGTTTGGGTTTAGTAAACCCTAAATTATAATGGATCTGATAAAATATTAAATTTATTTTTTTAAATTAAACTACACAGTCAAATTTAATTGAACTTGAAAATTTATATTAGAACCATAAAATTCTATTTTTAAATTACTTTCTTGAACTATTCATATCATAGGAAATTATCTTTCAACATTTATAAAATTATAAAAGGTCAACCTATTATACTTTTCATCCATTAATAAAATCTAATGAATATTTATTATTTATTGATGCATTTGAAAGTAAAAAACTTTTTATAAAAATAATAAGATTTAGAGGTTATAAATATTCTTGGAAATATCTAGATAAAGATTTTATTTTTTCATACCATAACAACTTATATATCTCTTTTATTCTTAAATTTGAAAGCTCTTTCTATTTATTAATTTTATCATCAAATGATTTTTAAATCTCATTTATAAAGACTGTTTTTACGAGTGATAGGATTAGTCTCATTAATTTTTGCACTTTCTAGATGAAAAAAAATACATAAATATTTAATTAATCACCAACCAAACATCAAATTTCTTAAATATATTGCTTTTTTTTTATATCATAATTAACAATACTATTTATTATTATTATTATTATAGAATGAAACTGGGCTATCCTTGTTGTATATCCCAACATGCAACCGGTCCACCGACCATCTAAAAGTGAAAACACAAACAATAATAAAAACAAGCCAGATTTCATGGACCGTTTTGATTGGAGTTCTTCTGTATTCTTTTATTGGATGAAATTTCACCATACCCAACTCTTGGTGTTAATGTTTTGCATGGAGATAAGATTCTCTCCTCTGTTGTGAACCAATCGATGAAATTTAACGGCTAATAGGATGCCATGTCATCAGATTTAGTAATGTTCTGAGACTTCCGAGGTCAGACGATCCTTTCTCATATTGTTTAAGATTTTGGTGGGACCAAAGCAGATCTTTGCCCTTATAACATCAAAGTTAATCCGTTCACTCGGTTAACCCTGTTACTAATATTATTAAAAATATATATTTTAAATTTAATCATACCTTAATTTTAACATTTCAAATTTCAAATTTAATTTTAAACATTACTAATTTTAATTTTACAAGTATCAAACAACTGAAAACTTATATAAATTTTAATTTTAAAATTTATAAAATTAATTAAAATACACACAAGTTATTTCAGACTTAATTTTAAAATGTATAAAATTAATTAAAATACACGCAAGTTATTTCAGACATTCATACTAATAATAATAATATATATATATAATTTTTTTTAAGATATCAAATAGCAATCTATTATTTTTCTCAAGAGATTAAATTGCATCAACTCTAAGTTGATTTATTTTAACATTTAAATCACATATTTCCTTTAACTTGGTTGATTTATTATTATTTTTTGTAGTATTTATTGTTTATTTGTATATTTATAAGTTTTATAGTTTTTTTAATTATTATATTAATGTATAATTTATACGTGAGAGTTTGAGATTCGTTTGTTTGAGCTTACTAACTTATGTGCTATAATTTGAAAAAATAAAATGTTATTTTAAAGAGGTAGTACAAATCAACAGGTATATTTTTGTCAAACTAGCATTATGGAAATCTTGAAAAGCAAGAGACAGGTTGGTCCAAAGTGACAGAAAAAGTAGATTTTGTGCTCCACAAAAGCTAAAGTAAGAGCAGATTATTAAATTCCGCAGCAGCAGTAATCCTACTGCTTTTCTCTGCTTTTAGGGATGCTTTATGCATGGCTAGTGTTCCATTCCCAATCCCCACTGACCCTTTTGACAGGGATCACAAGCCTTGATGATTCGTTGATTCATCAATTAATGGACTTCCATATTCATGCTTTGATCATGTAATAATATTCACAAAAATAACTTGATTATTTGAGATGGGTGCACGCGTTATTTTGTCTGTCAACAAGAGAAACAAGATTTCCTGTTCTTCAACAGAACAAACAAACTGCTAGTACAAGTTGGATTTCTTTAAAAAAGGTAATAAAGCAGAGCTTGAGGTCTTTTGATTTGCTCCAAAAATAAGATTCCAAAGGGAAAAGGAGGACATAAAGTGAGTGAACATCGCATACCCTCATCAATCAAAAGAAGAAAGAGAGAGTGAAGCCAAGTTCTGAGCAGTGGAGGAAAGTAGGTTAGATGCTCGACTTCACAAACAGTTATGGAGCTCATCAATCACTGAAAAATTTCTAACACTAAAACAAAAGGATCATAGGATTAGTTTTTGTCTGCCTGTTCCTCAATGGCTTCGTATTCCCATTTTCTGCTTCTCTATTTATTCCTCATGTCTTCTGTTATATGCCAAGTGACAGGTGAGTTCTTGATTCTGCAACTCTGTTATTCTAAGAATATTTTCATTTAATCTCTTTGGTCTTCAAGCAAATCCCTGTTTGATCAGGATTAAGTAAAATGTCGTCCCACGTTACCAAGTAGCATACCAACTTGTTTTCCTGTCGGAATCTGAAGTATTTTTCCATGCTTTTGCAATATATACACTAGTGATGACAACAGTAAGAGAGTTTATGAAATTAAGAAATGAAAAGAAACGAAATGAAATGAAAGTCATTGATTTTCTTATTGTCCGATCGCCTGCTGGATACAAGTCAAGTCACAGCCACCTAATTTATTTACTAGAGAAACAATAAGAAAGAAAACAACAGAATGGTAATGATGTGTTTTTTCTGTGTGCGCGCTTGCTGTTCAACATGCAGAATTCATCAGCATAGATTGTGGAGGCACAAGCAATTACACAGATCCAATAACTGGACTTGCATGGATTTCAGACAATGGCACTATCATGAACTACGGAAAATCGGCAGAGGTAGAAATTCCAAATGGAAATATGCAGTATCGAAGACGGCGAGACTTTCCTATAGACAGCAAGAAGTATTGTTACACTCTTGGCACCAAAGAGAGACGTCGGTATCTTGTCCGTGCCACATTTCAGTATGGAATCTTAGGAAATGGAGATGCATACCCCCAATTTGATCTCTACTTGGATGCAACAAAGTGGTCAACTGTGGTAGTATTGGATGCTTCAAGAGTGTATGTGAAGGAAATGATTATCAGGGCTCCTTCAAGTTCAATTGATGTGTGTATGTGCTGTGCTTCAACTGGTTCTCCCTTCATATCCACTCTAGAATTGCGACCTCTCAACCTTTCAATGTATGCAACTGATTTCGAGGATAATTTCTTCTTAGAGGTAGCAGCCAGGGTAAATTTTGGGGCTCTGAGCAAGGATGTCATAAGGTCAGCTGATTTCCAAATGTTATAGAAAGATAGCGTAGAGTTAATAGAGCACTTCATTAATTAGCTTTCACCTCACTTCTGTATTAAATCAAGTTCTTGGGAAACATGCAAAGATGTCAAAATATATAACATTTGCCTCTCTCAGGTACCCGGATGATCCGTATGACAGAATTTGGGATTCAGATCTTGAGAAGAGGCAAAACTACCTTGTAGGTGTGGCCCCTGGCACAGTTAGGATCAATACATCAAAGTACATAAACACTAGGACTAGAGAATACCCTCCTGTTAAAGTAATGCAAACAGCTGTTGTTGGCACTCAAGGGGCACTTAGCTATAGGTTGAACCTTGACGACTTCCCTGCCAATGCTCGAGCTTATGCATATTTTGCCGAAATTGAAGACTTGGGAGCAAATGAGACTCGGAAATTCAAATTGCAGCAACCTTACTTTCCAGACTACAGCAACGCAGTGGTAAATATTGCAGAAAATGCCAATGGGAGCCACACACTTTATGAACCCAGCTACATGAATGTGACTCTGGATTTTGTCCTTTCATTCTCTTTTGTCAAGACCCGAGATTCTACACGAGGACCACTCTTAAATGCGATTGAAATTAGTAAATACATAAGGATTGAACCGAGGACTGACAGCCAAGACGGTAAGTCTAAATCTCAGCGTATTGGAGTTTATCTAATCCTAAAAAGTAAAAACCAGCTGTATGCAGAGCTCCAAATCATTATTCTGTTCTTGATATTTCCTAACATTATGAGAAAGAATATGCTTCGCCAATATTAGCTGTGTTGAATAACTACAATTTCACTGGCAGTGACTGTTCTCAACGCCCTTCGTTCTCTGTCTGCTGAAAGTGCTTGGACAAAAGAACAAGGCGATCCTTGTGTTCCTGCTCAGTGGGATTGGGTTAATTGCACCTCAACCACACCACCAAGAATCACTAAAATGTAACTTCTTCTCACTTGGTTAATTCCAGATCATGTTCATATATTTCATAAAGTATATTGCATATTTGCATTTTAGACTCTTGTGTTTGAAAAAAAGCAGGTAGTTGCAGTTGGTGTGAATACTTATTATTCCATTCATATCTGTTCATTGATTTGTCAACTAGAGTACTTGCTTTTCCATGTTTA